CCACAGTTCATGATCATGTTTTCAAAATGATCGGCCTAATTCAAAGTATGGAGAAACCGGGGCACCCATATAGTGATGATTTGGCAATAGACACATTCTCCATTCACTACCAGAAAGTTTAAACCAGTTTATCATGAATTTTAACATGACTGCCACTACAAAGACTATGAATCAATTGCATGCAATGCTGGTTAGTGTTGAAAAACAAATCCCTAAGGAACTTAAGAAGGAAGTTCTTATGATTCAAAAGGGAAAGGGGTTCAAGAAGAAAGGGCAAAAGGCTAGTGCCAAGAGCAAGGTCTAGCAAGTTTCCAAGGATCCTGAAAAGCCTAAGACGACTCCAAAGCCCAAGGCTGCAATTGAAAGTGAATGCTTTTACTACAAGAAGAAGGGGCATTGGAAGTGAAATTGCTAGAAATACCTCGACTTTCTCAAGAAGAATGGAGCACCTACCTCGGGTATTATGTTATAAACAATTCAAACATTCACTTAGGTATGTGATACAAAGTTGCAGTGCTTAACATAGTGATGTTGCGCAGGAACTGCAAACAAGTGAAACTGGCATGGAAATGGAGCTTGAAGGTGCACTAGAAGTATTTGAGTAGCCAAAGATAGCTTCATAGTTTTAAATTTTTATTAGTTATCATGATTTTAGACAATTTCCAGTTTTGATGCAACAATATTTCGGTTTTCTTGTTTTGAATACTAAATTTGGTTTACTTGGCTTGGACAAGTGTTGATCCATGACCAAGGTAATAAATTGCTTTCATTTTGCTAAATATGAGTCAATTTTGTTTTATAGCATTGATATAAGTATATCACAAAAATAATATTTAGATGATTCAAAGTACACTTACTTAAAACAAGTAAGGTGAGGTCACATAAACCATTTGCACATCCAAAGTAGTGGATGGACTCTTATTCTTAAATGATTATGAATCACTTGAGAATTAAAAGTCATGCTTGATAAGTTAGGATGACAAAGTTGCCTTTTAGTAGAAAGGGTAAAAGAAGCTAAAATGACCTTTTGGAACTCATACATATGATGTATGTGAACCAATAAGTTCAAAATTAGCAAACAGATTTAAATATTTCATTGGTTTTACTAACGATTTAAGTAAATATATCGATAATTACTTAATGAATAAAGCTTGGAAACATTGAAATGTTCAAAATTCCAAAATGAAATGTAAAATTAGTTTAAGATGAACAAATTATCACCACAATATGATTGTTGTGAATATTTAACTCAAAAGGAATGATCATCTAAAGGGAATTGTTGAATTAATTCACAATCCAGATTCATTACAATTAAAGTGTATGTTTATGAAGAAGGAGTCAAAATTTGCTTGCCACTGTTTGATCCAAGATTTAATGATTTACAAATATCGTTTTGAGGATATACATTACAACAACAATTGCGAATATACTAAACAAGAAACTTAACCAAAGCAGAAGAAAAGATGTCGTAAGAGTTATGATTTGGAAATGTTCCAAAAGTTATCTTTTCTAAACAAGATTAAGGGTTATGAAATCAATATAAAATGTTTACAAAGATGACATAATGCACCCTAAATCAGAAAAAATAGTTCTTCATGGATTTTCTCATGGAAACTAAGAGGTATTATTCCTACAATCGCGTAGAAACAAAGTGTTTGTTGCTCGCGATAATGTCTTTATAGAAAGAATGCCTTCCTACAAAGCCAAGTGGGAGTAAAGTTAAATCTCGATGAGATTCGAGACGAGCAACAAATGGATGTGTATAAACACTAAATCAAAGACAAATGGGCATGAAATCAGTTAATTTGATAAAACATGTGTCGAAGCAAGCTAATTCCACTAGCGAGGCTTCTATCGTCCCACTAGAATGAAAGGCTTCAAAAAGTTGAAGAGAATAATTCTATTGTCACTCATACCTATCATAGGTTACTTGGGATCAAAACAAACAGTTTGTTGAAATTCTGAGAAAAGGTGGATTCTAAAATTTTCTTATTAGAACGGTTAGAGTCCTTGGCCTACAAGCAAGCTTTGGATAAGTCCCAACTCAGGAAATGGCTTAAATCCATGAAATCCAGTATGGACTCCATGTTTGTAAAGATGTGTTAGTCCATAATAGTCTTACAAATAGGGTCAAACCTATAAGTTGGGTGAGCCTATTCGGATTATCTCTAGTTATGGATACCAAAATCACCTTCATGAAACGTTCTTGGTGGTGAACATGTATATGATACAACCTAAGAGTTTTGAAATCCAGAAATCCTAGAAAGTTTTGCAAACTTCAGAAATTCATTTGTGGATTGAAGTAAGCATTAAGGAGTTGGAACATTCGTTTTGATTAGGCAATCAAACAGTTTGATATCCTTAGTAGAACGAAAAGGAAATCTTGTAGAGACAAGAAGTTTAGTGGGAGAAATTGGTCTTCTTAGTCTAGTATATAGTTGACATACATTTCATATGAAATGATATATCAATGGTTGAATAAGTCAAGCAGTGGTTAGAAAGATTGTTTCATTATGATAGACTTAGGATATGTTGAGTACATATTGGGAATTAAGATCCATGAAGTGAATCTTGAAGAATGATTGGAATGAATCGAGAGACTTATGTTGATAAGGATTTTGACAAGTTCATGAATCAAGACTCTAAGAGAGGATGTCTTCCCATGTATCATGGTATCACACTCAGTAAAACTCAGTGCTTCAAAAGCTAATAGAGTTGAGTTGTATGGATAATGTACCTCATACTTTTGCACAAGGGTCCATTACATATGCCATGAAATTTACAAAGCACGATGTTGCATATGACTTGTGCATGTGTGGCAGGTTTCAAGCAAATTCAGAATAAGCATACAGAGAATTACCAAGAACAGATCCTTGAGTACTTGAGAAGCACTAAAAGGAATTCTTCTAGCTATTGTGTTAAATGGTAATTTAAGCAAGTTGTCAAAAGGTTACACAAATGCAAGTTTTCCAAACAGGCAAGATGATTCTAGATGGTGATCTAAATGCATATTTGTGTCTGTATGGAGAAGGACAGTGAGCTTGAAGAGTTCAAAGCAGAGCACTATTGCATACTCAATGTCAGAATATGTGTATTAAACTATAGTAAGATAGTTAGAGAGGAAGTTCGGATTAAAATGTCATGTGACTAACAGGTCACCTTTGCCCAAGAACAAAGCCAGAGTCATATCATAAATCCAAAGAAAAGGATATGAGATATCACCTCAATTATGAGATCATTGACCAGCGGAAGGTCATGTTCTGCAAAGTTTTATTATGATTGAGAAATCACTAAACCCCTTCCATGGACTAAGGTATGAGAGTCATATTAAAGTCTTAGGATTGAAGCAAAGTATGTAATTTAAGTTGTATATGTTTTGAGAAAACATATTACATGAGCAATGCATCAATTTACAGAATTATGTTTAAAATAGAAATTATTATTTCTCTTACATAATTATGGTTTTAGAAATTAAATAAAATGTCCAAAATAATTATGAATTGATGGGCTCATCAGGTTGATGACCTGGTGAATTGAAACCCCACAGGTGAATAAAATTCATTTATTATTTAAGTTCCTAGTTCGAGATCATTAAAGTGGACATAAATGATTTCAATAAATGAACTAGCATGTAAGATTGATTGGATAGCGCAGTTTCATGGGCTATAGGGGCATAGTGATGCTCGGTCAATCACTTGGATATGCATGAATGATGCATGATCGAACTAATGACCTACTTTGAAGTTCAAGTATAGAGCTTCCGTATATATTAGTGGATTCCTTTGACATGAGTGGAACATTGATTTCATTCTTTGGATGTTGTGATTGTGGTACACTCAAACGTCTATTTGTAACTGGAGATTATAAAGGGTGTTTCCCGGTTATTTCAAAAGTTGAGTGGGAGTCATGTTACCACAAGATTGGATAGAGTCTACCTATTAAATTAGGAAATGTGTCATGGCCGCTTGAAGAGGGAGAATTCAGAAAATACGTGGCCGCGTTCAAATGCATTACACTGTAATCATTTGGTTTTGTAGTTCTAACTCAGACTTCAAGAAACAATTTGTAGACTAATATGATCTCGACATGTGATGCAATCATATTATCAAATTGACACATATATTGACTTAAGGAATTTGAATATTGCACCCCTGTCTCAGACAAGTGGGAGATTGAAGGAGTTATGTCTTCGTCGTGTGCAATTACTAGATATATAAATGGATCAAATTATGGAGATAATAAATTTCGTACATTTGGGTTGTCGTTTTGCCATAGCTAGAGGTACTAACGATCTTTGGACTAGTAAAATAGCCCAAAGCCCAATTGGACGGATCCTATAAGGTCACACAAAGGGGCTAGATTGAGCATTAGAGGACGAGACCCATCATGGGCCTCATCACTCTAGGTGGCCAGCCATATGAAGGATGAGAAGGAGTTTTGGGCTTAGTGCCCTAGTCTAATTATAATGAGATTATAAATAGACTAGGTGACTAGGTTTGCATGTAAGCAATTATAACTGATCAGTGTGATCAAACCCTAATTAGCAAACACGATATCCAACCCCTCTCATAGTCCTCTCTCTCACGGTTCTCTCCTCCTCCTCGGCGCACAGTGGTGTCTCGTGGTGGTGGTGGTTTGTGCAGTGGTCGGTTGTCCATAAAGGTGGTGACCGTGGTTTTCCTCAATCACTCGACCAATCTAGTATTGGTGGACGGCTCGTTCGAATCTCATGGACTAAGTAGAGGAGCAACGCTTGGGGATCTATTCTCTCCCTGATTTTCCTGTCGAATAGCTTCGTGGAATTTACGCGTCAAAGGTATGATTATGTGTCTTGTGTGTTATGCATGTGATCTTGGGATTGATACTTGATTGAATATGATTCATGTTATTTCCGCTGCGTAGTACCTATAAACTCCTTTAGTTTTATGCTTCACGGCTACCCTGACTGGTGGCTAGAAAAATATAGGAAGAAGGATGCTGCCTCTTTTTCGGGACATAACATGCATAGCGGCAGCAGTTCCTCTGCCACTTCCTTTGTTGCGGCTGCCACTTCCTTTGCCACGAACAAACCCACGGTACAGGCTAATGCCGTGAGGAGCTCTATTGGTGATACTCCTATTTTACCTTTGCAAGTTACCCTCTCTGCTTTATCTGCATTGCAACGTGATCATGTGCGTGCCTTATTGACTATGATTAATAATCAACAACAAGACAAGATGTGTGGTGAGTATTTTTCTTTGTCTTGGATTGTCGACACTAGCGCTTCTCACCACGTTACGGTGATGAATCATGCTTGTTAGATACACATAACATACAACCGTGCCCAGTTGGACTCCCTAATGGTGCACAAGCTCTTGCTACAAAGGAGGGGCGCGTGTATTTGGCCAAGAACATTATTCTTGGTCATGTTCTTTTTGTTCCTAAATTGACTTGCAATTTAATATCGGTTTCTAAAATGATTGATGATTCTCGATGTTTTGTATATTTCACTGATTCTTTATGTGCTATACAAGACAACCACTCGGGGAGCCTGATTGGAGCCGATGAACGAATAGGTGGACTTTACTATATCCGACAAATTTCTAAAGTATGTGCGGTGACTAAGCCGGAGATTTCTGCATTTGAGTTATGGCATCGTCGTCTGGGGCATCCGTCGGATCCAATTGTCAAGTTGGTTCCTGCTATTAGTACTAGTTCTAGTAGCAAATTTTTAAATAAAGCATGTGAAGTTTGTCGGCTAGCTAAACAATCTAGGGATAGTTTTCCCAATAGTGATAGTAGGGCTAGTCGTATTTTTGAGATGATACACTGTGATTTATTGGGGTCTAATAAGACGTCGTCTACTTGTGGTGCACATTATTTTTTGACAATTGTTGATTATTTTTCCCGAGCTGTTTGGGTTTATTTATTGAATAACAAAACTGAAGTTTATTCTTCTTTTTGCTCTTTCTTTACTATGGTTAAATGTCAGTTTGATGTCAATGTGAAATGTGTGAGGAGTGACAATGGTACCGAATTCAAACACATGATCCCGTATTTTAATGACAATGACATTCTTTTTTAAATTTCTTGTGTTGGTACACCTCAACAAAATGGGCGGTAAAGCGTAAACACCAACATATATTAAATGTGAGTCATGAATTGATGTTTTAAGGCAACTTGCTGATTACTTATTGGGGTGAATGTGTGCTTGGGGCGATTTAATTAATAAATCGCACTCCCTCTCGTTTACTTGCCAATAAATCTCCTTATGAACTTCTCTTTGGAAAACAACCTAATTATGATGAATTGTGTGCCTTTAGGTGTTTATGTTTTGCTCATAACCAAAATGAAAAGGGTGATAAGTTTTCCCCTAGAAGTCGAAAAAGCGTGTTTGTGGGTCACCCTCATGACAAAAAGGGTTGGAAGTTGTATGATTTGGACACCAGTGACATCTTTGTTTCTCGTGATGTAATATTTCATGAAAATACTTTTCCCTTTATTTCTAATGTGGGAGATACTACTGTGGGTGATCATGGGGTGTCCAATGATAATGTTGGGGTAGATAATGATTTTTTGGATGACTTGGAGTATGTTTTGGAGGTTGGTGAAGCTTCCCTTGACTCAGACACATCGAATGACACCACCGATAGCACCCCAATGGTGCCCAATGCTGTTGCCTATACTGCTCCATCTATTGGCAGCCTGGACCGCAGCCCACTTGTTGTAGCCAGTGCTGCCCGCAGCTTGAGTACGGAGCACACTACTGCTTCCACAAACCGCAGCTCGGACAACACTATTGTGGCTGATCCGGGCCCTTCTTCTTCTTCTTCTTCTTCTTCTTCTAATGACTTGGGACGTGGTCATCGTGAACGACATCCACCTGGTTGGCACTGTGATTACGTCGCACATACTATTTCTCTCCAAAGTCCATCTATCTCTCAGAGTTCACCGCCTTCATCAAGTTCCTCAGGTAATCCTTATCCTTTAGCACATTTTGTGAATTGTGATAAATTTTCTATGCGCCACTGTGTATTTATTGTTGCAGTTGATACAGTCGTTAAGCCACGAAATTTCAAAGAGGCAATGCAAGATGAGGGGTGGCGTGAAGCAATGCAGAATGAAATTCGTGCCTTAGAAGATAATCACACTTAGGTCATGGAAACATTGCCTCCGGGGAAGAAAGCTCTTAGGTGCAGATGGGTTTATAAGGTCAAGCATAATTCTGATGGCATAGTTGAAAGGTTAAATGCACGTCTTGTCATATTTGGTTGTCATTAGGTCGAGGGTAGTGATTATAATGAAACATTCGCTCCCGTTGCGAAAATGGTTTCTGTACGTGCTTATTTAGTAGTTGCAGCTGCGAGGAATTGAGAATTGCATCAAATGGATGTTCATAATGCCTTTCTTACAAAGTGATCTAGATGAGTAAGTTTATATGAAGCCTCTTCCGGGTTTTCATGGTTCCCAATCCGGTATGGTTTGTCGCCTAAAGAAGTCTTTATATGGTCTTCATCAGACCCCTCGTTGTTAGTTTGCCAAACTTTTTGGCTCTCTGAAAAGGTACAGCTTTACTCAATCATACTCTGATTACTCGCTGTTTACTCAAAGCTAAGGGTCTGTTCAACTCAGTGTTCTTGTGTATGTTGATGATTTGATAATTTCTGGGAATGATACCTATACGATTTCTATTTTTAAAGCATACTTGAGCAATTGTTTTCATATGAAATATTTGGGAGTTGTGAAGTACTTTCTTGGCATAGAGGTTGCTAGAAGTCCGGAAGGCATATTTTTATGTCAACGAAAGTACACTCTAGATATTATTGCTGAATAAGGTTTTTTAGGGGGACGCCCAGCTGGAGTTCCAATTGAGCACCTGCAAAATTGGAAACTCCATTTATTAATTACCCAGAGATGTATAGGCACCTTGTGGGATGCTTGATTTATTTGTCATTCACTCCACCACAGTTAGCTTACTCTGTCCATATTTTGTCTCAATTTATGCATCACCCTCGGCAGGATCATTGGGATGCATCTCTCCGTGTCGCTCGTTACTTGAAGGGTTGTCCAGGGCAAGGGATTCTCTTGCGTTCAGATTGTGACTTACACTTGACAGGTTGGTGTGACTCATATTGGGCTAGTTGTCCCCTAACACGGAGGTAGCTCACTGGTTGGGTGGTATTCCTTGGTGATTCTCCTGTTTCGTGGAAAACAAAGAAACAACATACTGTTGCTAAGCCTTCTTCGGAGGCGAAGTATCGATCGGTGTCCCATGTAACTGATGAATTAAAATTGTTGAAGGCACTACTCAAAAGTTCGGGAGTTTTGCATCCACGTGCGATGAGTCTTTTTTGTGATAACCAATCAGCATTATATATTGCCTAGAGTCCGGTTTTCCACGAACGCACTAAGCATTTTAAGGTTGATTGTCACTATGTTTGCGATGCAATTCAAGATGGCACCATTAGTACTTCTCATGTACGAACCTCGGAACAACTAGCAGATATTTTTCCTAAGGCTCTAGGCAAGCAACAATTCTCATATCTTATAGGCAAGTTATGCATTTGTGACTTGCATGTTCCAACTTAAGGGGGGATGTTAAGCCTTATTGTATTTAGTTAATGGGCCAATTAATAAGGCCTAATCTCTACTATTAGGGGGTATAAATATATTGTGCATAAGCTAATACAACACAGAAAAACATTCTCTCTAAATTATTCTCTCTAATTTGACAAGATTGTAAATAAGAAGAGCAACCGCAAAGGAATATACAGTCTCTTGGTAGTGAAAGCAGTTTGTTCATACATACATTTTTTTTCTTTTTAAATAATAATAATAATTAATAATATCATATGAAGTATAAAGATGAATTAAAAATAAAAAAAATTCATTACAAGTTTTTTTTGTTAAAAAAATAATTTCAAGTAATTGATGATATGTTTGATGAAAAAAAACATTAAATATATTATTGAGGTTAAACATATTAATGAGGGTATAAATGTACATTTTTAAGGGCATAATTGGTAGCACACTTATATGTTAGTGAACCAACTCAACCAAAAGCTTAAGCTGATGGTTGAGTCCCAAGAATATGTTTTATACTCTATCAAGCCCCCTCACTTCATACCTAACGTTTCATATTTCACTTGAAAGTGGGGGGTGGATGAGATTCGAAATTGTGACCTTTATGTCACGCTGGCTCTGATACCTTGTTAGTGGACCAACTCAGTCAAAAGTTTAAATTAATGATTGAGCCTCAAGAATATGTTTTATAATCTATCATTATAGGTATTACTCACTTTTTTTTTTCTTTCATAAATTTTCTAAATTCTACTTTTTTTTATTCCTTAATAAATTGTTTTACTCATTTTTTTTTATCCTCCACGATCCTACTTTGTTAATTCGAATTTATTAATATGTCTAATATTACATAATCTATTACTGATGGTCCATTTTCAAAGTATGCACATGCACTGATGTCCCAATTTCTACTTTTCGTTAATTTACATAGGTACATTAACTGAGTAGAATTTAGGGGTAGAGTAAGGAATTATAAAAAAGGATAAAACAGAGAAAACCCTTTGTCCTAAATGATACAAAAATAAAAAATGACTCCTTTAATGAAAATTTGTGAAGAAAATCCTTTTAAGTGGTCGACTTTGTGAAAAAAGTTCTTTTATTAACAAGGTGGTACAAAAGGTCCTTTTATTGTGTTTGGGTTTTGGGGAAGGTCCTTTGACCAAACTCCGACGTTGATCAATTTTTTCCGACCAAAAATAGTCACGAACACAGCACGTGACCACTTAAATCAAATTTTTTTTCCCCTTTCCCTCGGTTTCCCTGTTTCTCCCTTAATTTATTTTTCCCTCCCTTATTTCCATTCAACTCTCCTCTAAGGTAACTAGTAGCTACTCATTAATGGCGTATTGGCGATTCACTGTAGAAGAAATTAATGGCGAAATAGCATGATCACAAACAAAGACCAAGTTGAAGAATTGTACAATCCCAACATTTACTTAATAACAAGCTTCCTACGTTTGTATCGTACCATCACCTTTCCTTTGGGACTCCATACTATTTCATTATATTCAGTCTCTAGGAACGGTGAAGTCAACTCGAGCTCAGAGTTCCGAATTAAATAGCTCCATATAGTGTTTATCTCCATGTATGCCAATGACTCACCAATGCAATTATGCTTGCCTCAGCTCCACCAAACGATAAGAACGAGAACGGGCCAGCCAATCTATCCTCCTCTCTTCCGGGGCAAAACCTTTCAGGATCGTAACTATCAAGATTTGTGTAAATATGTGGAACACGATTAGACAAAACCGGTGAGGAACAGAAAGTATACTTCAAGGAAAGGGCCGCTTACCGAGAAAAGGAAGATGGGGAACAGAATTTAGGTATATTTCTGGTTGATATATTTCTGGTTATAACAAACTAGATGAAGCCCATGCGATGCACTGCGATGCACGGTTTGTTTGATTTTTTTTAAATAATGTTTTTTTTTTTGTATTTATGAGCCTAAAATGTGTTATATATTTAGATAAAATTCCTAATATTAAAAGATAATATATAATATTTAATTAATTTAAACTAAAAAATCTCATTCGCCAATTTTGCTTACATGACATTTGAATTATTTAATTCTAAAAGAAATTAGTAATCTCTTATTTAATTGGCTACTATTAAGATTTATAATCCTACATGGCGCGCTGAGAAAATTAAATCCTACGTGGCTCTCTAAAAACTCGGGAAAAAACTCCCCTTTATATATATATATATAATTAGATTACATGACCAGTTAGGCCCATTTTAAGCGAATTGATTATAAAGATTGGATTATTTAAAAATAACCCAAATGTCACTACTAGAAAACAGGTTATTTCCGACAGACACTGAAATCCGTCGGAAAGTACGAAAATTCCAATGGACTTTATTTTCGTCGAAAAATCCGTCGGAAATTTCCGACTGAATTGTAATATGTCAGAAAATTCTTTACTTCCGACGGGAAATCCATCGGAAGTGTTATATTTTCCGACGAAATTTAATACCTTTTCGACGGAATTTAAGTTTTTTAAAAAAAAATAAAAAAAAAAATTCCCCCAAAACCCTAATATTTTCGGTGCCCCCCTCCATTTATTTTTCACTTCTCTCTCTCTCCTCTCACCCCGCCTTTCTTCTTCTTCTCTCTCCTCTTTTCTGCTTCTCTCTCCTCTCCTATCTTCCTCACGTCTCTTTCTTCTCCTCTTCTTCCCTCACTTCTTTTCTTTCCTTACTTCTCTTACTTCTCCTCTTCTTTCCTCACTTCTCCTCTTCTCTAATCTTCTCAATTTTCTAAAAATGTGACGCAAGGATGGAACTCACGGATCTCCTCATCAATTCTCTATTTGCCTCACGAATCTCCTCTCTCCTCTCTAGTCTTCTCTATTTCATTCATATTAATGGTTTATATGGTCAAATTCGACTATGAAATCTCTAAATCTAGAGGTTTCATTGCCGAATTAATCCGTATTAAACCAAATTCGAGGAGAAATTAACATTCTAATTCGTATTAAGGTATGTATTGTTTTTTTTTCAATTTTTTTGGTTTTTTTATATTTTTTTGGTTGTACTTGTGGTTTTCGGCTGTTGTGGTTGTATTTTTTTTGTTAATTTTGGGGTGGTTGCTGCAGATCTGGGTTGGTTAGGGTTAAGTGGGGTGGGTTCGGGTGGTGGGTTGGTTAAGTGGGGTGGATTCGAGTGGTGGGTGGGTTAAGTCATGGCAGATTTTTTTTTTATTTCTGGGTTCGGGTGGTGGGTGGTGGTGGGTTAAGTCGTGGTAAGGGTAATGGGTTGTGGTGGTTGGAGGCGGTGATAAGCCGTGCCAGTGGTGGCGCGACTTTTTTTTATAATTTCGTAAATAATTTTCCGACGGAAATTCCCTCGTAACTTTCCAACGGGAATCAGTCGGAATTTGCGTCAAATTTTTCCTACACCAGAAAACCTCTTTTCGAGGGAAAAATCCGTCGGAAATCCGTCAAAAAAGTGTTTCCGACGGAATTTCCGACAAAAATACTGGTTTTTCCTACAACCCCGTTTTCGATAACCATTTCCGACGGAAACGCCATTTCAGGGTGTTTCCGACGAAAAAGTTCCGTTGGAAATGGCCTGTT